GGATGCTGATACAAAAGGCTTTATGGGGTGTGGGATGTGACATTTATGAGAAAATCCTATTCGAGACCAATTTCCATCCGTTGGTAATATTATCTTGACATTCCTACAGCACAGTATGAAAATGGGCAAAATCGAACAAAAACCAAGGTCTACTTCCCATATAACACAATTTTTAATTCGATTTGATTCTTTCTCTTCCCAGCATATACACATAATAGTATCAAGTACCAATGAATGTCTGAGGATAAAACTTTCAACGAATAGTTCCTTTAAGGTGAGCCGCCTTATGACAGGTAACTATTTCGAGGTTCCCTACACAAAACCTTCGAATTTAATGGGGAGTCCAATTTCGATGACTCGTTCGAGCATTTCKACTGGTAACTGGCAAATGACACACAAACTGCTTTGCTCTAAGTCCAAAATTGAAGAGGGATTGCCCGCATAGACTTTAGACTTTACATATACCCTCAGGAAAAAGTCTAACGGTGTGACGTTACACGACCTTGGTGGCCAACGAACCCACCCAAAACGTGAAATTTTCTGCACACCAAAGTGAATAAATCCATTGATTGTTGCGATATGTGAAAAGTGGTTCTATCTTGTTGAAACTAAGTGTCGCTGAGGTCACATACTTCACATTAAGACATCCAATAGTCGGTTATCATGGCGCGACAACGGTCGCCATTGACGGTAACACATCAAACAGTTGTCTTTTCTGGATGAATTGGCAGCCCTTGAATCTCTTCAGGTTGCTCCTCGAAACAAATGCGGTTATTTTGCTTCTTTACAGTCAGAAATGAGCCTCATCTGTGAACAAAATTTGGCTAGAAAACGTCGGATCTTACTTTYCAATAGTCCATAGAGTGAAGCAATATCACTTCGTTAAATGCGGCAAGTCGTTCCATACGTCGGTCCGAATTGCTGCGAACAGCGACGAATCGACCCTCCACGGTTTTTGTGTACACTCTCAGTTACGGCTGCTATATTTTCTTCAGTGAGCGCTGGGCGTGGTCTATTCGGTCGAATATCATCCAATAATGTGTGCTGGGTCKCAAGATGGGTGATGATGTTGCAAATAGTATGCTCAATAACCCGATTATGTTGATTATAAGTTGAGCCAAGCGCGTGAAACACATTCTATACAGAATATGAATTTTCGTAATRAAGTGGAACGAATGGTAAACGTTCAGTCGTAAGTCTTTCCAAGATGAGACACCAAAAAARGTGAACAAAAATRACATGACAACTTGACACGACTCATGCGTGATCTGTCAAAAAAGTCTTTTGAAGAAAGTACSYCTACTTGTCTCACTCCTTATTATACGCCYGGTGCAGCATRTTGCGGGGTATAAAACTCYTATCGGAACAWATAACGCCAGACAATTGAATTAGATACTGTATATTTATTCTTAATTGGTATGTATATTTGTCGTTACATATTTTATCTTTCATGTTTCATGTTTTATTTTTTTCGATCTTCTTAGAACAAACAAGAGAAATACTGCMTGTGCTTGGACGCAGTGCCGAATCGTCGTCGTCTTACACGTGAGTGAGTATGCATCAGTTGCCATTCATATTGCCTTGACTCGATTTCATATATGGTATAATCGGTATACATATTTTGTAAGTATAGGAGTTTCACACAAACATGGCTATTTTACAGTTATTATTAGTTATATATATATTTGCATATATTGCTCGCTTTTTTAGCTCCTCTTGTTTCCTTTTAGTTCATTACACTAAATGAGTAGTATTAATTAACTAAATTTACTTAGTTTAAGAGTTAATGAGTGTTTTATGTACGTATGTAAGCATAATTTTGTTCGTAGCTACTTGTCTATAATCATAATCGTAATCATCATTTTAATTTCTTAACCGCATAACGCTACATTTAGTTTAATTTAATATTTGCCGAGTTGCCGAGCGGCGTTGTCGGTTGGATTGAGTGTGCTGCTCAGTAAGTTTCTATAACTGCAAACACTTCGGTGATTTGTTTAAGGAAAAACTGAAATTTTCAACTTTTTAATTATTAATTATATAGTTGCTATTGTTATTGTTGTTGTGGTGTTAGTTTAACAGTGTGCCGGTTTTTGTTCAATTTTTCTCGTTATTCACCGCGAGCTATATGCATATATGTATGTATGTATGTCAGTATGTATATATGTAAGTATGTTTAATTTACAGTTAAGTTGCAATGATTTTAACTAGATTTCATTCTTAATTATTTATTGTAGATTYTCTAACTGAGTGATGTTTGGATACTTGGAACTATGGCTTTTCAAATCATATTCGCTTGACGCTTGTCTATAATAGTTTATTAGTATGTATGTAGTTATGTAATTGCAATAATTAATTTAGTTTTACGCTTTTCAACCTGATAACATTTCGTTTGCCGTTATAATGCACGCATCGGAGTATTTCACCTTTACATCGATTCTCGCCAACGCACATACACATGAATGTATATKTATGYATGTATGTATGTTTGTTTGTATTAACTTAATCTGTTTATATATATGTACACATAGATATATAAAGTTAGATAAAGATTGCTTATTTAGTAAGTTTGATTTCATTATCATTATGTACACACACAAGCACACACACGTCGCCGGAATTCTGAATACTTATTGCTATTAGCCAAATTAGTAAAATAATATGCATAATGAAAAAATAACACAGTTTAATTACAAATCAGATTATGAAAGCACAATCTGAAAGGAAAGCAGCGCTCAGACTGAAATGCATAATTACATATATATTATATATATATAAATATCTAGTATGCCACATAGAACTTGCAGCGACTTGCGATGAGTACTTTTGATTACAATTCGGTTGCATTATATACAAACAATTGGTGA